AATCCGGAGTAGATGGTGAATAAATTCACTCTTTATTGTAAACCATGGCTGTATTGTCATACAGTGAAGAGCATCTTAGTAGTATTTCACAGGTTATGAGCAACAATAGACTTACCTTGCTAATCAACCCATTATTAGTCAACTAGACTTTTACTGAGGATCTCTACAAGCATCACCACTGCAACTCCAGACCAGCTGAACTTCTGGAACTAGAGTTCATGTCTGAGAGATGCTTCTAGTATGGTATAATTTTTGTTTGTCATGACCATTATTTGCACTTGGTGTTTTATCACATGCAGCAAAAAAATACCATGATATTTCTTTGCTATTGCACCCCCACTATTGACCACTATGGCAGATTTACCAATTTTTTTTCTTTGTGATGTCAATATAATCAATTCATTTGTACAAGTTAAGCACACCAAAGAAACTTCCATTCATGAATGAAAATATTCCACAACCAATACATTTTTTTTGCCACTAATGCATTGCAACCCCTAAAAAAGACCACTTTGCCAACTTTTTTACTTCTGTCACCGTTTTTTTCTCCATTCTCCTATAATCTAACAACGAGGACTCCAGCAGGGCACCATCATTACTACCCATGTTGATGACAGGCATGTTCACTGTTGTCAGGATATCATTTATGCTATTACTGACCACCACCATGCTCACTCAACCCACAGGGTCAGCATTACTTTTGCTTGGATCCCTTCTTGTTGGCTTTGCCTTTAGTGGCAAGGGTGTCCCTACTTTACAGGCTGATCAACTCAATGTTGCTGCACATCATTTACACACACTAATTAATCACCAGCAGGACCTTTGGCCTGATTGTGACAATTGGCCAACCCCTAGTAGTAGTACTAGTATCCATTCCCCTGAGACTGTTTCCAAACAAGTCAGGGTGGCAAAGTTCACACTCATGACTCTTAAATAAACACTGCAATGAGACAGTTTTCTTCCCTCTGAATGGAAGTAGCTTGACTGGTACCATAAAGTTGGCATGTTTTGTAACCTCATATATGCTATGTCACTAGTTGTATTGAAGACATGACTATCCTTCCTTACATATATTAATAAGGTAAATCACCTTATTACACCAGGTATTGAGGAGCCCAAATCTTGAGACATCTGCAATGGTGGGAAATATTATACTAGCAAAGCTATCACCCTAACAGAAACCTATGCTGCCTGTGTAGATTAACAACCTACCCACAGACTGACCTGGGCTCTTGCAGCAGCTCTCAATTTTTGTTGGCTATAATGTTAGAAATGCAGTTGCAGAGGCCACTCCTCCTACCTCAAGAGGACGTAAGTCCCTATTTTATATGCAGGTTGATGTACCCTTTCAACAGTGGTGGACTGAATGTCTCCATTGGAACCAAATCACCTCCCTCTTGGGAAGGTCATTACCATCCTTAAAAGCCCTGCGACATTCAGGGCCACCCTGAGGCCCCTTGCCTTTGGGACAAATACATTTCAAAGATTCTTATCAAGGATTTCAGCTTCAAACCAACCATAGTAGTATATTTGCTGCTAGCATGATTACAGCAGTCTCACTCTTGCCCTCTGCAAAGTCAACAACTTCCTAATAGCAAATGCTGATGTTGCTGCCTGTATTTGTGTTTGAGCCCTCATCCAGGACCATATGGAGAATCCACTCAATATCTTTGGCACAATCCGCAACTTTAATGGTATCCATGTGGATCAGACATGTCACTTTCACCACTCTAACCACCTGTACCACATGAGCCTCAGACAGGCTTCAGCACCACTAGATTGGTGGTGTTATCATGATGCTTGCTGGTGCTGATGTGTATTATTGTAGTTGACTACAACCCATCATAGCACAGAGCTCCACTGAAGCTGAATTCACCAACACATAGGGTGCCGGAAAGGCTGCACTTTACCTCAGTTGGATCCTTGAGGAATTGAAGATTTCCCAACCTTCCCCAACTCCAACAATTATACTCAACATACTCATCATGTTGAAATGAAGAAACACTTCTTAATCCTACAATGGACTGACAATGAACAAAATGATTGTGGTAAAACAATAGGTTCTGATGAGAACAACAGTGACTCCCTGAGTAAACTCAATTATTGCAATAAGTTCCATGAACATACTGATATCTTTATGGAACAAATCAAAACAGATTACTACACATGTCATATCTTCATTTATCTCCCATTTGCTTTACAACAGAAGATATTGCTACATTCCCACTTACTTCATAAGTACTACAATATCTCTTAAACTTTTTTCAATCTCCTCAATCCTCTCCAAGATTTACTATTCTGATACATTTGACTCATCTTACTCTTTTCATTTTGCAAGTGCAGGGAGGTATGACAAGGAGGCTCAATCCTGACTAGATAGTGAAGAATAACAACCTAACTCTTCATTCTAAATCATGTATTGTTGTGAAATGAAGAGCATCTTCTTAGTATTTAACAAAAAACTAGTAGATAAACTTACAATCAGAGCATGAATATGGCTAGTAGTAAGTGGTTGAAGTCACTATTAGTAGAAGGTTGAAAACAAATCAGAAATCCAATGAAATAGCAAGAAATTCCATTCAACCAGGTCCTGTAGTACCACAGTTCTACATCTTAATGTTTATATCTTATCTGTGGGTAAACCTGCTGATATTTCAAAGTACCCACTAAATAACCCTACTACTGGCTAAACATTACTAATAGCTGTAATTACCTTACCAGTGCTGCCTTTAGGCAACACTTGAGTAAGTGCATAGTACGAGCACGTACATCTTGCATAACAAAGAAACGACCACTTAGTCAAATTCATATGTGTGAGTTTAGGTTCAAAATCTACAGGGTTCTAGTACACATGGAACAGTACCCTTAATTTGAACCAGCAGCATGTGCAAGCTGTAACTAAACCCAGATCTGCTGAAAAGAATTTGTGTACAAAGTATTAATTTCATTCCAAAAAACAGATATCTCTAGTACTGGGCACTCAATTCTACTACAATGTGCCAACTAACAACAGCTTGATGTAAGGAATAGAACACTGCTGATCTTGTGAGCGCAATTGGTTAAGTATTAATGAACAACTGAAGAGGTGACAGCTTGTTGCTATGATAAGGTTGATTGAATGAGTGTGTTTTATTTTTTTCATAACTCTGCCCCAATTGCAGTTTTTTTAGTTTTTTTGAGTTTCCATGACGACTTTTTTCTCTCTTTCTCAAAATGTGTAGACTGCAGTAAAAGTCCTACACAAAATATTACTGAAAGACTGAAAAAAGTATAACTAATATAACTAGTACTACCTTTCTACTCATTCATTCATTCATTCCCTCACAATTTCAAACAAAAAAATGAAATCACTCCAAAAACTCAAAACATAAGTACTATCACCATGTTGCTGGGCAGTAAAGAATCAGAACCAGTTGCTGAAACAGGAGGAGATATTGAAAGGAATGCCAACATAGCTTGGAAGCTGGTTGATGATGTAGTTGTAGAAGAATGGTCTCCTCCAGCCCTCCTCTGCCCAGAACTATACTTCACCTGGGGGAGGTACAGACCCAGGTCCTTCCTGTGCAGCAAAGAAAGCATCATTGGTGGATGAATGCACTGACAAGGAGAAAGGGTTGGAAAATTTGTTGTTGTTTGCCAAAGAATCCTTTAGCTGATAGTAAACAAGTCCAAGAACTGGTGCACCTTTGAAGATTGGGTGACAGAAGCTGACATTACGGATGCCAATGGGCAGGTAACAAACAAGAAGAAAAAGATGTCCAAGCTACTCATACAATGTCACCTGTTGCAATAAAAAGAAGCATGTTCTAGAGTCAGTGAAAGACCAATTGAACTTCAGTTGTTGCTACATCTTCTTGGCCTTGCTTGGTATGTATCTACTTTAGAGGTTGTACTTCAAAGCAATCACCTCAATTACTTTTGGCTCGTCTTGAGAATGGTAGAATCTATGCTCCCTTTGTCAGGAACACAGCAATGAGCAAAAATGGATTTGTCTTTGTTAGCCAATATTTTCATTTACAGTGGTAGCCAAGAAGCCAATCACACCGGTGACAACCCCCTCTACAAAATTAGGGCTGTGATGGAGAAAATGTCTGGTTGCTAGTATTGTCTCAGGTGACATGCAAATATTGATCTGTCTGTTGACAAGTTTATGATAACTAGCTATTTACAAAGGAAGACAAGGAATCCAGTTTGTCCAGTATCTTCCTAGTAAGAAGCCAATAAAGTATTGCATCAAGGTGTACTGTCTGCGTGATGCAGGCACAGGATACTTATTTGCCTTCTTTGAGATCTACACTGCTGGTGGTATTCTTAGTTGTTACAATATCATGGTACATAGTCTTGATTTGAATGTTAACTTGTAACGTATGTACGTAGTACGTACATACCAGTTTAAGCAATATAAAATAACAGCCAAAATTAAGAACATGTGATTTTGGGCCAATGTACTAACTTCACCAGACTAGTAGTTCTAAGCTGCCGCCAGAGCATCCTCAAGGTTCCCAATCATGACATGGAGGATCTTAAAGTAATTGTATCAATTTGGACTGGATGCTTAGCTAGTCTGGGTGTCTAAAGTTTTTTTTATAAAGATCTGGCCTATTTTCTAACCAGCAGCCGGTCTTGTAAACCAGCCAATTTTGGTCATACCGGGTGTGGTTACTACTACTAATGAGCGAACAAGAAGAAGAACCGGCTCCCCCAAGGCCTATAATCATGGTGTAGTAACAATGACATATGGCGCTGCTGTTCCCAACACTATTAGGAAGCTTTTCCCCAAAGAACAGTTGCTCTCAGGCCATACTGGAGCAGTTCTTAAGTGACTGAAAACTAGTAGATCTATGTAGGATCAGTACTAAATACTGGGCTTCAAAATTAACCACGATTTTACTACTAGTAATAATTTTTCTGTTTGAATAGAATGACTTGAGGCTATGTAGGACTTAGTAGGCTTCTACGATTAACGCATTTTGTATCGCTTAAACTGGTACCTTCTACCTGCCTTCGTAGATCTTTGAAACTTGAAACAGTACTGATAATCGAATCGTTTTACAAAAAATATGTACGCACGGACTCGCAACTCGTACCTGGTACAGTACGAACCATGGTGATTTCAAATTGACAGAATAAATAACAGCCCTTCTTGAATTTGAAGACTGAAAGTTCTTCTTAATCATCGAAAGAACGCCACGAAGTTTCGCTGAGAATGTAACTACTGTAAGTGGTAATTTGTTATTATCATTCCGCTGTTTCCCTGGCTGGCATGAGTAGAGCCCATAATTGCTCTGAACCACATTGCTTGACGTTCTCTTCATTTTAAATATACGAAGTGGTTCCAACGGGAAAGGTGATCGTCAACATCAACCATCGTCGATCGAAGTTTCTCACAGCATGGAACAAGAGCTCCTGCATCAATGGCAAAGAACGAAACAAAAAGTACGAACAACACCGAGGGCCAGTTGATCGAACACCATGTGGATCCGACCGGAAGTGACACCTCTGAATCCGATGATGACGAAATCGAGATTCTCCTTGATTTCAAGAAATTTGGSATTCTAGTCTTGTTGCTGTTTTTCATCTTTCCTCTGCTGCCTTTGGGTCTAGCAACCATATTCGGYGCATTATTTGTATTATGCGAACCCGACACAACCTTCGAACAGGGATTTTTGTACGTCGTGTCCAATCTTCTCGGAATGGCAAATCCCCTGACAGACTACAGCCCGAGCGGCGTAGCAGTCGGCATTGTACTTGATATTTATGTCGCAGTCACTGCCCTTGTTTGCTTCGGTATTCTGCTAAATATTGTCAATCTTTTCGATGTTCCGAAGGGAATAAATCGCATGATCAGAAAATGCATTAAAAATGCGATCTTGGTCCCTCTGGTAAGTTCTCGATTCACTTCGATAGCACTTCAATTTGAGTTAGTGACAATTAGAACGATACTCATACCGTCATTATTTTCCATGAACTATGATAATTGCATAGATTGCTCTCGGTGTAATCATTCCGATTGTAAATGCCGCTCTCTGTTCTGCGTTTGGGGCCCTCTTGGCGCTGGCGGAAGATTGGACGATCAGAGATGGAATTCTTTACGTTGCCTCGAATTCACTCGGGCTTGGAACACCTCTGACAGATGTCACCCCCTCCAACACTGGTGGGGCAATTATCGACGTAATCATATCGAGTATGGCCTTGGGGTACATCGCCATCTTTGCTGATTACGTGACGGTCCTGAATCCCTCAGCATATATACGAAGGAAGATGCGCTCTTGTTTGGGTGCACTTCGGATTATCGATCTGAAATCAACACCATCGCAACACCCCCTGGCAATCCCTTCGTATTGTGATAAGGTTCCGGATGAGACTGCCAGAAAAATAGAACTTGAACGGGGAAATCTACCTAGGYCACCATCACAAGATGATACTATTGGATGAAGTTGTATGCAGTTGTATAATGAGCAGAAGAACTCGAAAGATGGTACTGTAATTGCTAATAAATTCATATTCTTTGGAAATCCATTTCTTTTYTGAAGAAACTTCTTGGCATTGTACTTTTGAAACTAGATGTTCAAATAATGATAGATCGCGATGACTGGTTTTGATGGGAAAAAGGTTGAATTTCACATCGTAGCCGCAACAGTCACTGAACTATTCCGTTGTACTTTACAATCAAGAGCATCCCTTGTTAAAGACATCCTTGAAGTCACGCTGGTGAATCCATGCATTGGCTATGAAATTCACAAACAAATGGAGTCCAGAGATAAAATAAGACATATTCAGGGAGGAATATTCGTAAAAAGGATTGCAAACACGAACATACCAAAGTCATGGACAGTAAAAGATTTCACTTACCAGCATATTTTATACCCTTTATTACTGGCAATGCCTCGTGGTTTGTTCTGGGTTCCTTAGCCCGAGGATCGGAATCTTTCACACTTGGCCAGACTACAGCTCTGCCAGTCTTTGGTTTCACAGAGATGTCCAAGCCTCCAAAGTGAGTCTCGCCGCCCTCTTCGACATCATTCAGGTACAAGAAAACTGCGTGGCAATGGTGCAACTCGTCGTTAGTGTTAGAAGCGAAATATTCACGAAACTATAAAATTGACAGAACATACCTGTCAACATACGTGCCCCAAAAAACCGCTGTAGATGGAAGGGGATGTAGTCGTGATGGTCCTGAAGAATACATGGAACGAATATCGTTAGTGAAGATAGAAAAATCAAAGTGGTCACGCTAAGCAATACCAATCCAGCTTTGTCCACTTACGGCATAGTGCTGCGTCTCTTTGTACTGCAGTAATTGCCAATACTCAGAATTTCCATCGGGAATACCAGTTATGTTCTCAACATTTGAAATAACTGCTTGGTTGATCTCATCATCGTAGCACTCATCTAAGCACCACGTGTTGTGAGAGGTTCGGGTGTCGTGTTTGAGACCCTCGATCGTTCCGTCATACTTGACTTCTCCAACATCTGTGCTTCGCTCATATCCACGATAGGATCCAAGTTCTATGATGCGTTTGCACTGTTCTTCCGTAGCTACGTTTTCGAGTGTGATAATCCACGGACCTTCCGGGGGTTGTGACAAAATGGTTGGTTGAAACTTCTGAATATAATATTCTTCTGTCGTCAATCGTTCGAACATTTTGTTGAGATCTCCGGGACCCCAGACACTGGGAGCATTATCATCATACGGACAGCGATGCTCAAACATCAATTTGTGACAAGTTTGACACACCGGGGCACAATTTACAATCATATACGCCGGATTCTACACATCAAATGCAAGCATTCCATCGTTGTTTTAAAAACAGACATCAATTGATCAGTCGATCTCATAAAATTGAGTAAATATGAATTCTTTCCCTTTCTTTGACCAAAGGAAAGCAAAGCGCAACACGACGCATCCAATAACTTACGGCATCGCATTCTCCAATAGCAGCCCAGAATGCACAGAGTTTGTTGTTGACCTTGCAGTGGCTGCGATACACTTCGGCTGTATCATCTTGATAAAGATCTACCATGTAATCGTGGGTCTTGGAAAGAACTTCAAGCGTTTTTGTGTAGTTTTCGGGGTCTGTTGGATTAAGTTCTTGGCTCTCTCCGAAAGGTTTCGGAACATCCATTGGCACGAACGATATACTGCTGGGATCGTGATATTTCTTCCCTGCCTCTAGAATCGAATCAAAGCAGGATCCATCTGGGAAGCAATGGGATTTTGTTTCGGAGTGCGCTTCGGTTTCACTCGGGCAAGTGCCACCGGCTGCGGCATTGCAAGTACCGTCTCCGTCTTTTTCCGCAGAGCAAGACGACAAGCAAATGCATGCTATTAATAGTTGACTTAATGCCTTCATCATTTCCGTCTTAGTGATCAGGTTGGAAGTACACGCAACTCGTCATCGACAATTGCATTGAAGTCATCATCAGCCAGTTCAAACACTGTGAGAATCGATGTAATTTTTACAGCAAAAGTGATTTTAAAATATTTCCAATTTTACATCAAACAAAATTCAKAAGTTCGTTCTGACAAGCCAAGTACCCTACGGTACTACCGTGTACAGTAATGCAMGCGCGATACGTTCGTTCAGCCCTCTTCCAGCAAGGTACGAGCTCGTACATTTCCTACGTTTCAAAGGAAACTGTTTCGATGAATACGGAATATGGAACATCAATATCAACTAGAATTACGACGTTCAGGTAAGTCCTATGTGTACCAGGTACGCGTACCTTAATGTAGTTGCAAAGACACCCGTGTGAGTTCGTATGGTAAGTACCAGGTACTAGTACGTACCATACGGACAGAAGTAGAGTTCAGGGTCATACGGCACAGGGTCATAAGTGAAGTTGAGGATTACCGTACTYGGTACCGTATCGTGCTGTAGTAAAGTACAAAAAAGAGTACGTACTCGTAAATACTGTACGGTAGTACGTAGGTCATTCGAGCAGGTAGCCCAATGATGGCAGTCACGACTGAACCAGAATCATCCACGTATGAAAATAGCTGTCAAGAAGTAACCAGATGCCTTGCTTTTTTCCCACCACTGAATTTTTGAATTTGAAGCTGATTTTGCCAGAAACCATGAACTAAAGTTAACACGAAACTGACACGCCATGCTATCACTGTTGMGATTATTTTCAAGAATCGCCAATTGCATCAGAAACTATGGCATCAAAARAAGRCGAACGCRATGCGGGAAATATCCAAACAACGAGAAGAAGAATCGATGACAATGAAGTGATCATAATGTTCACTCCATCGCTTGTGAAAAACGCGGCTTCGCACCTTCGCTTGCCTGGCAACTTTGTCGGTGTCCGATCTGCACGRCAAGACTTTAGGAATCCGACGACGATAGCGCCRTCGTTCCAGGCAATCAATCCAAAGGATGCCGCAGGCGAGGAAAATTCCGCTCGCCTGAAGGCCTCAAATGACGTCAAATTCTGTGTTGTCGACGAACACGGGAACGAACGACGCATGACCAAAGCCGAAAAGAAGGCGAAAAAGTTTCAAATGGCGCAAGCCAAGAAGGAAGCCAAAAAAAAGGCAAACTCGAAGAGGAAGCGAAAACTGGAAGATGTGGCAACGGATATCTGTAGTAGTAGGGACTCCGACGCAAACGCAAAAGCAGAGAGCGAGGCGATACGACAGAAAGATGAACAATTGAAAGGGGACGGAGAATCGGCAAAAACATATCATCAACTCCCACTCAATCCAACAACGATAGAACAGGAACTCGCTGAGTTCAAAGGAAAACRAGGAAATACGCCACCCCAGATACTTTCACCAGCAATGGCTTTGCAGTTTGTGTCCAAAAGCATGCATTCGACCTCGGCCCAATCACCAGTGAAAACAACTGGCGATGCAACGTTTGCGTACGATCACAATCTGTCTCAGGAGTGGGCGAACCGGCTGAAAGAACAGTGCGTTTTGCCAGCAGAAGCAGTGCGACAGAARGAAGACCTGCGACCCCTGGCATATCGATTACAGCCCGAGCCTTGGCAACGACTCCGACCCAATCTAGATGAGAATCCAGTGTTCACAACGAATCGAAACCGCGACGATAAAAATAAGGAATCGATATCCAAAGYAGCCGGTCCTATCATTGCAAACAGTGATCTAAAATCACATGATTGGGTATCACTGATTTGTCGGCCTCGCTTGAATCCGTCCGTCTCGTCGCCAGAGCAATTAGGAATCAAGCACGATGATATGCTGTCAATCGTCTTTGAATACATACACCGGCAAACACCGTTCCAYGTTTCCTGTGGTTCCAAGTTTGGTKCCGACTTTCTGGTATACGATGGTCCCAGGGACAAGCGACACGCCTTTGCTGGCTTACGCGTCMTCTCCCGTTTTACCAATTCGACAACGACGTTGCCATCGTCCACAAAACCCTTGTCCGAGAATGTTTCGAGTTGCAACCAGAACCTGCGGTTGCCACTTCCAACTGCCTATTCTCTGACTGGTTTTGTAAGGTGTTTGAACACWGCAGGGAAACTGGCGCTTTTGGCTACCGTAGACGAAGTGTCGAACGAGCACGGCGACGGGCAAGACTTGTCATCGTTCAGCTCTAGAGCTTGTAGGAAGAAGTATCGAGTAGCCTTTGTTGATGTAGCCCTGGAGAAAGTTTTGGATGTTCATATACGCAAAAACCGTGGACGATCCGAYAAGAAGAAATTGCAAAAACGGAGGGATGTAACACTCACTCTTTCAAAGAACTGAAGGAAAAGCGACCGATCGCTCATGGCTTGTCCTTATTGTGGTTTCGTCTGATTCTTGACGCATCTACCTTGATTGCAAAATRAGCAGCACTATCCTGTAAATTGTGATGATGGGAGTGGTTGTGGCTGTATGGTAATAATTAATTCGTACTTCGTATTACAATTGTTACCGCGTTACAGAATTTTTTCCGTCTGCAAGTTTGCTTAATTGAACACGGAATATCAAACAGCCAATGCCATGTCTTGATCMGCTTGAATGAACATGGTATTTTGGCTATTGTCATTCTCCGTGCCCACAMTACTCGAGCGACAAAATTTTCTGTAACCTTCAATTTTTTATTCGCGAGCAAAGCAAAGGTCGTCCTCAGAACGACCTCGATTTACACGCTTAACTGGATCATGACATGAACGCAGTCCCGCCCTTCGCTATTGTTGATTCAGGCTGCCGACGATAGAACTTTTTGATTTGGTCGGGAGTGCCTTCGTCGTACGGAGACTTGCACAACTCATGCAATTCCTCGACAAGTGAAAAATCACCGGTAGCGGCGGCGGAGTAGGCATCTACCAGTATCCATTCTCGGAGAACAAATTTTGGATTGTTGATCTTCATTTGCTTGYATATTTCGTCCGAAGGCCGTTTTGTTATYTTGAGTGTTTCTCTCCATTCCTTGATCCAATCAACCCAGTCCTTGCGTTGCTGAGGGGTCAATGGTTCGTAAAAAGGGCTTGAGTTACTAACACTATCGCCTCCTTCAATCAGCTTTAGCATAGATTCGTATTCGGTCGAATCCAAATCCTGTATGTCTCTCATAACATACGTCAGCTGCCTCCAAAACAGAGTCCAATCGGTACGGGTAGTTGCCAGCAAATCCTGTAGAGAACCCCATAAATCTTCCCCAGCATCGGCATCTTCGGGAAGTCCAAGCTTCAGATTAAATACACCTTCTAATTTTTGATTAAAAATGACCTGAGCCTTCGTCATAAATGATGCTAGCAACTTATCCGTCATTTCGGTATCGGTAACTCCTGCAGTTCTCCTAGCCACAGCAATGACGGGCGCTACGGATTCTACCAACACCTGATAGTTGGCAAATCCAGCCGAAGGCTGGTTCAAAAACCCAAAATGTTGACCCGATCCGGTCCATTTTGCAAATAGTGGCGTGAATTCATCCATCCACCCGAAGGGTCCTGGTGAACACAAGTCACAAGTCAAAATTGAGGCAATCATTTTTTCATAACATCGTCTTCCTACCCATGTGCGTGCTAGTACTTACCATAGTCCATAGTTCGACCAGCTACCAAGCAGTTGTCCGCGTTGAAGTTACCCTGAGCAAATCCAACACGCACCCATCCAGTCACCATATCCGCAATACGTACCGCTGCTAAATCAAGTAATGTTGTTGCAGCTTGATCAAGGTTCTTCGATTCAAAGTACGGATCAAACGCTTCGGATCTATATTCTCGCTTGCAAGCATGCCAAATCAGATCCTCTAGCTCCTTCCAGGCTGAGATTTTTACACAGAGAGGAACAGCACGAAAGCAGAATTAGTGATGTACAAAAAAAACTTCTTGGTCCATCGATCTGGTTCACAAACTCTTCTTACATCGGTCGGTCGTATCGTATTTTTGCTGGGAGCTTGCCTGTTGCTGCGCAAGGACACGCCTGGCAAACAAGTCGATGTGTCCGATGCGCACAAAACTTTTTGCAACTCGGCAGGTGATGGCACACGGCTCGGAGATCATCATGTTTGGGTCGGCCTTTCGTGTTGCCCGCAGCTGCTGGATGATCTGACGGCGTTCTTCTACTGGGTATTGGGCCAACCGCGGATCGTCAATGTCCGGGATTTGCAAGACTGCGTCATCGGAATACCACGGACGCAGAGACGTGTCACCGTTGTCGGATCTCACCAGCGACAAGGCCCGGGTCGTGTCGATTCCCAGTGCGTGCATCGCCTCGGAGGCAAGGAATTCACGGATGCTCGATCGCAGGACGGCTCGTCCGTCGGCACCGCGGGCAAAGGGGGTCTTTCCTGCTCCCTTCAGCTGCAACTCATGGCCACTAAATTCCGCAATGCTGATGGCCCTTCCGTCGCCATAGCCGTTCCCGGTTCCGTAGGGACAATTGTTTGTGTATCGGGACCCCATGATGGAAAGTGCGTAAGGGGTAGCCCACGTTTCGGCAGTGCCGTCATTGAGAACGGCATTTCCCGACACGAATTGCAAGAAGTGATCCGATTCCACTTGCTCCGGTGAGAGTTTRAGCAGGTTGCTAGCGACAYCGTCCGAGACCAAGACCATTTTGGGGTTGGCCAATCCTGTTGGTTTCACCAACACGTAATGGCCATTGAAAACCGGGCGCTTCGAGCGGTTGTCGTCGTCGGCAGACAACCGTTCGATATTGCGAGACTTTTCTAGGTTTTCGGGTGTCTCGGGAGACAGCTCACGCGGCCAGGAATTGTCCAATACGATCGATGATAGATCGGTATCCGAAGACGCCGAGGTTGCCGACGTTGTTGTAGACATCTTGCTACGATTGACTCTCGGAACAAATGCGTGTGCGCCTATCGGAATTTGGCGGTTGCCCGTGATACTGGTCCTAGCAGAAGAGAAGAARATACAATAGATCGCTGATGCTCTTGTTGCAACGGAAGATTGTAGTCGCATAGTATTGCTTGTTTGGCACCCGATGCTATTGTTTTCTGTCAAATTGAAATTAGAATTGCGGAACAGAAATCCAACGGAGCAGGGGGAACTTGTCGAAGTTGTTGTTYTGGATCTTGTCGATATGGTCTGRGCAAATGAAGAAACAGTGCGAAAGATTGCTCTGCCCATTCCTCCTCTCTCTCGATGCAATTCAATTAACCCAATTGAAACCCACACTTGTTTCACTGCCCAAGGGGAAAATATTGTTTGTCGTCTGAGTTGGAAGTTGAAAAGGCCTGAAAAAAAGGCATGAGTGATTGAAATTGAAATCGCTGTTTTTAAAAATCATTTTCGCGGTGTTGCTAACATGCAATTGGTTCGATTTGATGGAGTGGACGTGGGAGTGACAGTCAACTGAGTGAGTCACTATTCTCGAGGGGGGCACTCGAAATTGTTCTCATTAAATTTTTTACCGTAGTACGTACTTTACCAGTTATTTCGAAGTAAAATGCGTTAAYCATAAAATCCTACCACGCCCTACAGGGCAAAAGGGCATTCTACTCAAACACAACAAATTATTACAAAGTACTTCTAGTAAATCATGCTTAATTTTGAAGCCCAGTATTTTAGTACTGATCC